ATTACAATGCCGGTGCTCCCCCGATGCCGCCAGCGCCCTCTTTGGGTAACTACGAGCCCAGAGATCATGCCGCTGCCCGACCGCCCCCCTCACGAGCCGGAGCTGCCCCCGTCGTGGACATGAAGGCACTGCGAGACCCAGACCTAACTCCGGATCAATATGTCGCGGCCGTTCTGAGTGATGCGACTGAGGATCAGATCCGCGAGTTCGAGGACTCGCTCCGCAAGGTCAAAATTCGTGTGGGAACAGACCTGCAGCAGAGCGTCATGCAGAACAGGACACAGTTTATCAAGATCAGCAAGGAGGCGGAGAAGCTCAAGAGTGAAATGAGAAATCTAAAGAACTTCATGTCGGAGCTCAAGGTGAACACAACGGCAATGCGGGCAGCCGCCGCAAAGGGCGACGACTCCAACATGTCCGGGGACCTCACTCTCAGCAAGAGGGATAGGCGAAGCTCCGTCGCAGACAGAAGCGCTCTCTGGAACACACAGATGCAAGCACTATTCAAGGGCGTGGAAGGATCTCAAAAGTTCCTCCCTAACGCGGCAGGACGTCATGTTGTCCAGAACGCAGGACCTTGGATCGAGCTGGACAATGCCACGTACAAGTCACGCCGGGCGATGCAGATCTTTTTGCTCAACGATCACCTGCTCATAGCTTCGCGTAAGAAGCGAAAGACTGATGCGTCGAATTCCGACGCACGAGGGCCGATGATGAAGATGGTGGCGGACCGTTGCTGGCCGCTCCTGGATGTCGAGGTGGTGGACATGACGAGCACTGCAGAGTCTGGAGGGCGCAACAAACTGGCTGATGCTATTATGGTGCGAGGAGTCGGTCAGGAATCTTTCATCTATCGGACGGAGAAACCTCAGGACCCCGAGAAGAAGCAACTGCTTCTCAATGTGCGTAAAGCAGTTGAGCAGCTCCGGAAGGGTCTTCGATCTGAGATGGAGGCCAACAACAAGGCACGTGAGACGATAAACTACTTTGCCTCTCGAGACCCCGGTCTTCTTCAAAAGACAGAGCTCTTGGCGACTCTTTCTGATATCAAGGACATGCTCATCGAGGTGGACGGCAAGCAGCACAACCTGCGCTGGGTTGAGAGTGAGATGGACGACCTCGATATCGATGTTGCAATGCAGAGGTTCGAGGTGGCTGTTGTCCGCGTTGAGAAGCTCAAGGCGATTGCTCGAGGACTCAAAAACAATGCCATCGCTCAGGACTTCATCAACTTTAAAGTCGGCGAGCGATGCGCCAGGTTGGCTACCATGATTGTTCGCGAGCTTGAAATGACGCACGACAACAATGCCAAGACGCGGCGCAACGTCAGCTGGCTGACCAGACTTGGGTTTGAAGACAGTGCTAGGGAGTCATACCTGGCAGCGAGGACAGACACGATTCACAAGCGAGCAAGGTAAGTTGAGAGTGCGAGGTAACGTGGGGAACATAAGCTAACAAGGCTCAGGCAATGCATCTTTCAGGGAGACCTCCACCTCTACATCTGGGAGCTCTCGTTTGTGTACTTCACCATCATCCACAACACGGTTCAGTGTTTCCAGTCCTGCTTCCCTCCTCCCATGATGAGTGTGTGTGTCAAATGGTCCAAGGAGGAGGTGGAAGCTTTCAACGTGATCCTAGCACGGCAGCTTAGTAGCACGGAGCCTGGGGGAGCAGTTTGGACGCAGTGCATGGACAGGGCCAAGGAGCACGCCAAGAAGCTGTCAGAAGTCGGTTTGGACTTTGTCAACCTGGTGGGACGGGACCTGCAGAGCAGCGGTCCAGTGGAAGAGGAGGCGCCTATCGGGCTGGGATTGTCGTGAGAAAGTTGAATGTGCTTGCTGATGCTGGGAACATTTTGGTTACCTTGTCAGCATAATACATGGCGTTTATGGTGCGAATCCAGGCTGGGACTGGAGAGCCGCGATGATTGTCTTCTTTTTTGCTTTTGTGAGAAACCTGTTTATAGTTGAGTTGTTCGTGGGCGTTGACGTCGAGGTGGTTGCTTGGTATGTAAGATGGTAAAGCCACATCCGCCTTGGGCTAGGCTTTGTTGATGATATGATCATGGAGGGAGTGTTGACGGGAAAAGAAGGAATTGATGGGCGTTGATAAAAGCAAAAAGAGGTTTATCATTTCATCTCATGACTATCATTTGCCTACCTGTGCATTGAAATTCGAGTCTCACATCCCATTGTCTAGATGCATGTATGTAGGTTGCGCCACACGAGGCGCATGCAAGAGAGCTCCCGCAATCTCCAGTGCGTCGTCCAAGGCCGAAAGTGGAAGTGGCAAGGGGCGCCAACGCCAGCGCACCACCCACCACCCACGCTGGACCTCAAAGCACTGGACAAGCACAAGCGCCCCCGGAGTCGCCCCAGCCCAGCCCAGCTGGCAACCATCCATCCCTCCTCCTCCTCCCATCATCATCACCTAAACAACACACCAAATTTTCCTGCCTCACGAAACATCTCGCCCGCCTGCCACGCGCCGCCATAGACGATTTTCCCTTCGAAGCTGCTGCTGGTAGTCGGTAGCTAATCCCGCTGTGACCAAGAAACCCCTTCTCTTCCTCCCCAGCTTCCATTTCTTTTTTCTCTCCCCTGACGGACGACCGCCGCCTTTGTGCCTCGTGCCCCACCGCTCGCGATTCAGGCGTGACCGCATCAACTGTCAACGTCATTTCCTCTCACCCCCTTCTTCCACCCTTTTCAACCACCTAGCAATCCCCTCGATACCCCGAAAACCGTCATGGACACCAATATGGAGGATGTCGGGCGCGCACCCGCCGATGCCTCCCCCGTTCTCAACCTCGAGCCCACCACCATCCCCACCCTCGACGGCTGGATCGAGAGCTTGATGGGCTGCAAGCAGCTGGCCGAGTCTGATGTTCAGAGACTGTGCGACAAGGTGAGTCGCTGCTTGGCAATGGGACGCGCTTGGGATGCTGCTGAACGGGATGGGCGAGGCAGCTGAGTCGCAGATGGTGATGGTCTTGCTCGCCGCATCCCAGTCGACGAGCTCGGACTTCCCTCGCGTGATCATCAACCACTCGCAGCGCTGACTGACTGGAATCGCAGGCACGAGAAGTTCTACAGGAGGAATCGAATGTGCAGCCCGTGGTACGTTGATGATGCGCGCCGGCGAGCCAGGTGCTCGAGCTGATCCTGCCTCGCCAGAAATGCCCCGTCACCGTCTGTGGTGATATCCACGGCCAGTTCCACGACCTGATGGAGCTCTTCAAGATTGGTGGCCCCAACCCCGATACCAACTACCTCTTCATGGGTACGCATCACACGGGCATATAGCCAAGGACTACCATACTCACTTCCAATGTGTCCAGGCGACTACGTCGACCGAGGTTACTACTCCGTCGAGACCGTCACCCTCCTCGTCGCCCTCAAGATCCGATACCCTCAGCGAATCACCATCCTCCGAGGAAACCACGAGTCCCGTCAGATCACCCAGGTCTACGGTTTCTACGACGAGTGCCTCCGAAAATACGGCAACGCCAACGTGTGGAAGTACTTTACCGACCTCTTCGACTACCTCCCCCTCACTGCCTTGATCGACAACCAGATCTTCTGTCTTCACGGCGGTCTCTCCCCCAGTATCGACACGCTGGATAACATCCGAGCTCTTGATCGCATCCAGGAGGTCCCCCACGAGGGTCCCATGTGTGATCTCCTGTGGTCAGACCCCGACGACCGATGCGGCTGGGGAATCTCCCCCCGTGGTGCGGGGTACACATTCGGCCAGGATATTTCAGAGGCTTTCAATCACAACAACGGTTTGACCCTGATTGCGCGAGCCCATCAGCTCGTCATGGAGGGTTACAACTGGTCTCAAGACAGAAATGTTGTGACAATCTTCTCAGGTATGCTCCCAGGGTTCGCCCCACTGAGTTTGGAGCTAACATGCATTGCAGCACCCAACTACTGCTATAGATGCGGTAACCAGGCCGCCATCATGGAGATTGACGAGCACCTGAAGTATACTTTGTGAGTTTCGACCTAATTGACAAACATGTCGCATACTAACCAGGTCTAGCTTGCAATTCGACCCATGCCCCAGAGCTGGCGAGCCCATGGTCTCAAGGCGTAAGTTCCTCTTGCACATTCCGTCTAGAAACGCGACTCTAACTCAATTGCAGGGACTCCTGACTACTTCCTCTAATCTCGTTCTGTATACCCACGTCTCACCAACATCGAGCCCTCGCGGCCGCATTCCTCTCCGCGACAACTGCGCCAGTCGCGGAGACTTGCCGCTCGACCTCGTGCGATTCCACACAACGAAATCCCTCAAAGACTAGACAAAACCCCCTTTGGCGCAGGACCTGTACGGACATTACATATCTGCTTGTGGCAAGCTCTCGGACATGACGGGGAAGGTGCGGTGGCAGTAGGAGCGGCTTGATGCCCTTGCTGGAGAGGATTTTGCCGTCGTTCCTACGTCAGCCCCCTTTGAATCTTCATGGTCGTTTAGATACGCATTATTGAGTTCCGCGGTCCAAGACACAGAAACGAGTTTGCATGATCAAGCCCTGTACTTTGTACTTTGTTACTGCATATCCAACATCACTGTGTGAAGTCTCTACATGTCAATGGGTCACAAACCATTTTGGGGAATACGGAGACAGACTTATGTACCTACCCGGGTGAAGGGGGGGGTTAGGACAGTGTGATGCATGGCTTGCCTCATACTGTCGGGTTTGTATTAGCTTCATGATAAAAAGTCATCATAATATCTTCTAAAAACATCTCTTCATTATAATAGAATTATGACATAATGATTAGTCCCTTAGAGCTATATCATCATTATAACAGCCTTGCGCGTTCAACAGATGTTATTCCTTAGCATTATGCTCCCTTTAACTAGCTAGCTTAATGATACAGTGCGGACAGGCTGCCTCAAAACCCCCGTCACACAGGTAGGTAGTCATGATAAAGGGCCAAGATGGGGTTGAGGGTCGCTCAGTGTCTGTTCAGGCAAATGTAATAGTGTCAAGGAATTTATACAATGTATTTGATTTGGAGCAATCGCGAGATGGTCCATTATTAAGTTTGTGGTGAGAAGTTTCGTAACTCATCCATCTAGATACCCGTTTGTGTGCCGTGCGCAGTCCCCTTTTTATTCTCTCCTTGACTCTAATCAGTATGCATCCGATTACTAACCCGGTGTCCGCAGATGATGCCTATTTCTTCCATCGCGGATTGGTATAACAAAGGAAAATATCAACTTGTACAGACCCTGAAAAGTTCCACCCTTAGACACTCTCGTTGTTCTCCTTGCGCTTCAGGCCTTCCTCCAGCTCTTGCTGTTGCTCTCGTCGTCGCTCAGCTCGTGGCCGCTCATCGTCACCAAAGACTTCCTCCTCGGTGCAGACACGATACATAGGGCTGTCCGACTTGACACTTCCCGAGTAGTCGCCGGGACCGCTGCTGCCATTGGGAATATGGAAACGTCGGTCGAACCGCGACAGGGCGTACGAAAAGACAACAATGAGCTCAATGACATAGTTGAAGCAGTAGAAGCAGGCCTTGTGGTGATACCAGGCTGGGTCGTTAGCCGGTCGGATCTTATAGCTGACGCCAGCACGGAACGCAGCACCCAAAGTGAGCAGAGTTGAGGTGAAGATAAGGAGGCCGAGCTTGGTGCGCATTCGACCCTTACCAAACTTGTCCATAGGAGCCTTCCGTGGGAGAATGAGACAGATTGCGATAGTCAGCAAAGGAAGGAAGGCCAAAATGGCGAGATAAGTAATGGCAGTGAGCTGAACATCACGAAGCTGGTGCTTGGTGTGGGGGTCGATGGTGTAAAAGTTGTAGACGACGGCGACGATCAGCATGACGAGCATAGCGCCGATGCTGAAAAAGAAGAAACGGAATACGAGTGTGCCTGGCTTGCTCCAACCAATATGCGGGTGATAGGCGCGGAGGATGCGTTGAGCAAAGATCAAGTTGACGACGAATAGTAGAATAACACCGGCGTTGGCAAAGACCTGGGCTGCGATGGCGATTCGGGCGTTGGTCGGGTATGCAGCCCACACGATGCGGAGGACGTTGGCGATGATTCGGGCCATACAGAAACCGAACAGAAGGGCCGAGAGGATGAACTTGTGCGAGCGACGTCTGTTCAACTGGAAGATGGTCATGTTGAGGGCGGCACCAGTTACAAACAAGCCCAGTAGCACGCCGCTGATTGGATCGTCAACTGATGGGGTAGGCCTGCCGCCGAGGCCTGCGGTCGTTGGGAGATATGGAGGTCCCTGAAGAGGCAACCAGCCATGTTAGTCCTGGAAGTGATAGACTATCTTTGACTATAAGGGGCAAAAGAGCTCACAGTTTGAGGAGGCATCCCGCCGCCTTGGCCTTGACTTTGTTGTGAAGACATTGTGAGATTATCACCCAGTAGTCAATTTGACGTAAATTCCTTTGCTCTTTCCTAGGCGTGCTCTGGTATAATGAATTCAAAGGTCGAGTCGACGCCAAGAATGGTTGGATAGGGTGTAGTCGATTCCCGGGATGGCGATTGAGTTCGCTGCGAGGCGTGTCACAGCTAGATGAGGCTGAACTTGGCGTGAAAATGAAGAAAAAGGTATTTTCGTCACGACCAGGGCAACATGAGTATATATTTCATTTTGATGACGCCCGCAGCCATTGCAAGTCGGCAATGTGCCTGAGAATCACACGGCGGATCGGTCGTCGGGATCGCGAAAGGGCGGCAAAGACGGCAGATCTACGCCCGGGGGTCTAGATTGTTTTCCGTTTTAGGTAAAAGATTTGGTCCAATGTCGGCATGTCGGAGCTTATTGTCGGCGCGAGGGCAAAAGTCAGCCCGCGCTTTTGTTGGAACGGAATTCGTTGATTGGCTGGCTAGATGAATCTTGTTACTGGCGACCATGTGCGCGGGAATGGCCAAGCTTCCTCGCGTGCCGGGTCCACGAGGCGAAGGCGGCCAGTGCGTCCGTCCCTTGATGTGCGGAGTTGTGTCGTTGGCCGCCCTTTGCCCACGCATTCGCAGAATGTAATAAATAAAAACAATCAAAGACTTATAACATTATTCCTCATTTTTATGTTTTATTTAGCTTATCATTAGATTATTATTTAAGCACTCTTCACTAAGTCTAGACGTCCTGGTGTCTCAAGTTTTTGTACGTCTGGGTGACGACTCAAGAGCGAGATGCATCTCGGACATCGGGCCATCCCTCAGCCCTATCGCTGCGAGGGGATTGAGGGGCGTCCCAACCGTCTGGGACATGTACATCTCTGACAAATGCCACTTCGGGTCGTGACATGTTAAGCCCGACTCGCGATGTTGCTTGATTTTCGGTTTCTCGTTCAGGCTCGGGCTCAGGCTCAGGTTCAGGCATTGGCTGATTCTCAGACACAGGCTTCATCCCCATCAAGTCAACAGGGTAAAGCGCCGCGTCGGGGATAAGGGAGTGTGCTGCAGCGGGTGATTCGATCGAAGCCGGTTTGCCGGACAGTGGTTTGATTGGCAGCGGCTCGACTTGCGACGTAAACATCTTTGCGACTCCTTCTGCCATGAGTCGGCGATGAGCAGATGCAGCTCTTGCGCTCCTATACAATCACACTTGTCAGCGCATTTGCAAAGCAAACGATATCAAGATGCTTACGCAAGTGTCTCTTCTACAGGCACCTGGAAAACTTCCTTATCATCGAGATTCGGGATAACTTCGATCATGACGTGATCGGGCGATACCAGGTCTGTCATTGCCAGTCTTGCAAGCCGTGATCCCTCGTCTGCAAATTCGTTCCCCTTGGCTTTGCCTCGCGGGACCCAGTGCAACTCCAGACCGATACCAGCTGCCTCCAGCGCGTCCATTGCCTTCTTGGCTGACTCGAGTAGTGCCTTGTTGACTTTGAGCACCTCCTCGCGGGTCTTGCGCTTGATCTTTGGGGTTCCTCTGGCCAAGTTCATCAGCGCACTCTGGCTGTCAGTGAAGATCTCGACTTGGCGCAAAGTAACGCCCAGTTGTGCAGACTGCTGCACTGCATAGTCAAGGGCATATAGAATGGCCTGGGTCTCTGCAATGGCGATGTTGTTGAAATGGTTCAACCGTGCCGTAATCCGTACCCAGTGAAACTTGTGTCGGAATACCACAGCTATTCCTGCGGGACTGCGGACGTGGCTAGGGCTACACTTTTCTGAAGCATCAGTCCAGAGAGCCAAGCGCGAGGAATCGCTCGGCACGCCGTCCGACAGAAGTGCTCGCTCGATTGCCTTTTGTGATGGTTTAATGAAGATATCGACGGGCGACCCAACTCGCATCTTCTTGCCTATTTCCTTTTCTGCCTTTTCTGTCTTGTTCCCGTACTTCCTGCCCATGCGCGTGCTTGCCGATTCTGGAGTCTCTTGGGGTTCAGTCAGAATTGTGCCGTCATTCTGTGCCTGTGTATCGGGTTCCTCGTTCCACGCCTCACGCGCGGCGAGCCAGGCTCTCTCGGAACGGGAAAATACATCCTGAGCTTTGGTACAAAGGTCCCGGATAGCTTCCTTGACGAAGGACATGGCTGTCTAGATGGGAGGGAAGGAAACAAGCTGGGAGTCCTTGAGCTTTGACTGAGGTGAATCGTGGGCCGAACGATGGAGATATGAGCAGCGAGGAGTGGACAGGGAGGGCCGCGATGGTGGCGATGAGAGGGAGATGAGAAGTGACTAGGTATTGGGGACCGACAATATTTGTGTCGTTCTATTTTTTTTTCGATGACATCGCTGTCAGCCACAGCAGCAAAGAACACACTTAAAGACACACGGCAGTATCAAAACCCAATACCGCAAAACACCGTAAACCTAATGTAAAGTTCTATAGCCATAGAAACCTAATAGCTGGAAGATGAGCCTCGCAGTGCAAGATGCCACCTTTCTTTTTCCCATGAGAGGTTATATTCCCTGGCTTTTTCCTCTGGCTTGCCATCGACACTTCCTTCTTCTCTATTGTCCTTCTTCCTCAATGGCGGAGGCCTGACGATTCGGACCGGGATGGGTGGCGGAGGCTTCTGGATGGATTGTTCGTGGTGTCGGTGGCAGATGTAAGGTTATCGGAAAAAGCTTGATCTGTTGTTAATGGGGTTATTGATGGGTTGGAAAAGTTAAACACAATTGCAGGAAGAGACCTGACTTTGACACACAATAAAACCGAACACACGGGAAGATTGGCTCTATGGTAGAGAAGTTGCTCGTTTATAGTGGCATCTAATGGAACAAGTTTATTTCCAACTTCTATTTCATCTTTGTCTAGGTACGGTAGGTAAGTAAGCCGGTTCTATCAGAGTCTGGGTTCGTTGTCGTTGTACGGGGGATAACTACCAATTCTAGTCAGAAACCAGCCAAATCAGCAGGTCGAACAACTTACTCAGTGTATCCCACTTCATTCTGGGTGTAAAAGAGCGACCGGTCATACTTTGTCAGTGGCCATCCGTTCTCGATTCGTGCTGGGAGATCGGGGTTCGCTACTCCAGAGTCAGTTCCGAAATACACCAGCAACCACAATGGTAACATACGAATAAAGTATCTCCCAAAGGCCACGAGATCGTCCGTCTCGCTCGCATGCTTTATGGCCGTCTCGGGCAGGAATCCTCCAGCAACAATGAGCTTGATTCCGGCACTGTCAAGTACCTCCCGGATAGGTGCCAGTGTGTCCTCTGCCCTTCGCAGGTGCTCAGGTGTATCCGACGAACCATCGGCTCGTGGCTCCACGGCATGGACAAATGCCAGAGATGGCTGAGCTTTGACGATGGCCTTGGCCCAAGGGACGAAGAGAGCCAGGGGGTCGGCCTCACGCATACCCTGGAAGCGGGAGAAGGGCGACATTCGGATGCCGACACGTTCGGGACCGATGGCATCACTGACGGCATTGAGAACCCTCAGTGGGAAGCGGAGGCGGTTCTCTATGCTACCTCCATACGAATCTGTGCGGTCATTGGTGTTTGACTGAAGCTGTGGAGTGTTAGGCCTGTTGTGTTAGAGGAGCAGGGGATTACTTACAAACTGATCAACGAGCTTTGTGTCACATCCCGTGTTAGTCGACATATCCATCTTCATAACCCATTCAAATGGCAGTTGGAACTCACATATCCGTTAGCACCATGGATCTCTACGCCGTCAAAGCCAGCCTCGACTGCATTGAGGGCCGCCTGGCGATAATGCCCAACAAATCGATCGATATCAGACTCGCTCAGGACCTTGAAGTTGGGAGGCGGGTCACTTGACGCAGCGCCCTCCTGAATAAGGGGCTTTGAACCGGCACTCCAGACAGTCGATACAACATTTGGTCTTGCGGCCCGTCTATCAAACCAGTTAGTTCCTCCAACTTGAGGGATGTCAAGGATGGTGAGTGAATTACCCGAGAGCCCAGATTTGACAGAAGATGATGCCTCCCTTGGCATGAACTGCGTCCGTGATATCTTTCCAGGCTGCTATCTGATCCTTGGAGTAGATTCCTGTCATTTGTTAAGCCATGGGACAGCAAGAATGTGGCAGAGACATTACCTGGAACGTGGGTAAGGCCCCCCGCTTCTTCAGCGATAAAGGTCCCTTCAGAAACAAGCAACCCGCCAGCTATTAAAGCCCAATAGTCAAAATCACGATAGTATCACCGTATCATATTCGCTCTATCTGGTTATAACTTACGTGTAGATCGCTGAGCATAGTACTCAGCCGCCCATTCTGCTGGTACAGCTGTTGCAGCATCCGCACGTCTTCGTGTCAAAGGCGCCAGAACAACTCGGTGTTGCAAGTTAAAGGCACCAACCTTGATAGGCGTGAATAGCTTTGTCGTCTTTGAAACAGTCATTTTGTCTTCTGTCTTTGTTGTTGTGTTGGTGTTGTTGAAGGTTGATAGAGAAATAGTTCAGTTGGACCTTAAAGTGGCTGAAAAAGCCGACACTTGACGAGGGGCAGCTTCCCATTCCGCATTTCCGTTCGGCTTAGCAATACACTGCGCTATATTCAGGCTTCCGCAGTTATCAACGGTCTACGATTTGCTAGATTACATGCGAGTTTGCCCGTTATTCTGTGGCTAGTATTGCGTGATAGGTTAGCCCTTCCCATGTTGGCATCACCGCTGTTTTTGGCTGACAAATCGAGTTGCTGTGACCGAGACTGTTGAAGCTCAATTGACATCTCGATGGGCGTTTTATTTTATTTTATAGAGGTATTAAAAGAGTAATTAACCTCATCCAGTGGGAAGAGAAATTTTGATGTTATCATAACTTAAAAAATGAACAGCTTGCCTGTTCAATGTCGCCAACTTTGACCTTGACAGAGTTGCATCTCAAAACTGCCAACATGTATAGGGTGGCACGTCATGAAATGAAGAGTGTTACTCCGTCCTCTACTCAACTGGGTCTTATAAATGAGCTCGACCAAGGAGACTTCCAATGAATAAATTCATTTTTACAAGCCTTGATTTTAATCTCATGCTCGCATAATAAACGCTTTTCGTGAGTGCTAAACAACTGCGCGCCTGACCGGGCTATCAGGATTATGTTGTCAATGCATCGAAAACAGGGCATTAACCCGTCTTAAAGACCTCGAGGACAACAGATGTGTCATCTCCTGCCCTTGCAGAACGTAGCTAAATCTCTGAAATGTATACCTGATCACTACGCCAAAGACAATTCTCAGTGAGCGTCACGAAAGGTTGACCAAGTTCGGCCCCACTGAGCGCCGACCACGGCGTCCAGTCTCTCGGCACTCATACCTACAAATAGCAACCGAGAAAGAAGAAACAATGAGCAGTTGATGATTCTGCAAGGAAAGACCTGCGACTTCGCTGAATTGTCTCACATCACTGCCCCTGCTAGTCAGCCGGAACCAGCCCTCATCCGCCCAGCTCCCGAAACCTCCGCGTCCTCGACCTGCCTGGACGGAACGCCGCTCCTGATATCACCGTCACATCCCGGCACCGGACAAAATGCCACCGTTCGTGTGCCGTCCGTCGTTCGAACCGCACAGTGCCCTGGCTCCAAGTGAAACGCGCTTCCTGAGCGAGCAGGGGACCCTGGGAGGCAGGGAAATTACACATGCAGGAACCCGAGCTTGTGCCTTGCTGATCTTAGGCAAGACTCTCGACGTCGTGGGTGTTGGCTAATCTGATTCCAGCCTCCGAAGTAATTGTGAAGGTTTAATGCCGAGCCAGCGTGGGATTGTTGATGTTTCTCTTCTGTGGCATCTTGTGTTTGTCCTTGGGCACAGTTGCTTCTGTGTACCCTCAAAAGGCACGAGACTGAGCAAGCAACGGCGAGGCGTTACCAATGGAAACTTTCCGTACTACTATCATATTTTTGGCTCTCGATTGTGTGTGTGGCTTTCCGCTGATTGTTGACAATGCCCTACATCTGCATCCGACGAGTTGTGAATATGCACTCCACGATCGTGATGCAGGGCGTGCACAGTCTCAGCATCAGCCTCCTGCCAATGAGACGGCACACAAACGTTTCTCCGCTAGAACATGCAAGAGCAAGGAGAAAGAAGCATGATCAGGTTCCTGACGAAACGCGCGAGGGTTTGTCGAGCTTGGCTGGGGTTGCAATGTTACGCTGTGCGGCGCGGCGGTGACATGGAAAGGTCGCTGCCGAGTTGCCAATTCGAGCAACACGAGGGACATTCTGCAATTGAAAGGCACAGCTGTTTCCCCGCCTTGAGAAAGCAAAAGTAAGTCACACGATACGAGTTGAAGAAAGTGTATGTCTTTGTTGTCGAGGAAAGCCATGGGGGGGATGAGGCGTTGGAGAGTTGACGATGAAGTGAAATTTGAGCTGGGGCTCGGCTGTGTCTCATCGGCCAGTCGCAATTGATAGTTCGCATCTTCAGCCAAATTCTGGTGGCTGCACAATACGACATGGGAGGGTAGCATCCGCGTCCGCACATCCATGTTGTATAATTCTTTGATGTTTGTGTGTTTGTGTTTCTGCTTGTGCATAGCAGTTGTGTGTTCTATGGAACCAATTGTCATCAACTGTTGACTTTGCGACCAGCAGTGTCAAGTATTAGCGATTCGTGAGCCGTAGTGACTGGCTCGAAGAGAAGGCTCCGATAAGACAATCGAGATGACGGCGTGGACACTAACAAAAGTTTGACCAACCGGGCCAGAACACAATGCTGTGAAAACCTGTTTTCTTTTTTATGCGGTTGTGCATCAGAGACAAGACCTCTGAAGGCAAGGAGGTTCATTCAAGTGGGCAATCGAACGGAGCCTGCATCGGCTTCTCGAGTTGTGACTGGATCAGAGTCTCGGAGGACTTTGACTCTAGTGCACGTGGGAACCGACACGATTGGAGTCGGTTACGTTGGCGAGAGAAACAATCGACCTGAGTCGCGAGACAGACTGGGTCGAGATCCGATCCATGTGAGGGGTAGGATAAGAAGATGATGACTTGCAGTTTTCTAGGTCTTGGAAGAGAATGGATATGGTCAAGCGCTATCTCCATTCTCGTCATCGACAGCGCGTGTCACCTTGTGCGACGTGTTTGCGTGTGCCGAGATTGTGGCATGTGTTGGTCCAGATTGATAAATTGATCAAGACAGAGACAGAGACAGCCTGACAGAAAGAGACGGGACGGACGACGACTCGCAAGCGTGGTGTTGACGGCACTGGTTCAGCTTTGTTCGTAGTGGGGGCGCCTATTAGTGAAAATAGTGCTTCCTAGAGTGGTCCGTGGTGGTGACGAGAGACGTTGCTTGAGTGGAGGAGGGGACATCTTGGCGCTAGAAGCTAGGGGGACATGGGTGCCCCCGGCCAGCACCCGCCTCACCCCCTGTTCCCCAAAATTACCGTCCAGAAAGGAAGACCAGGCGCCCGGTGAGAGGACAAGTACCTCACACATAACATCAAGGTGAGAGAGGTACCTCTTGTCAAAGCCGTTGTCGCGAACCCGGCCCTGGACTATGCCTCTTGTGGTATAGGGCGGGTCGGCTCACCCTGGCCATCGCCATTTCCCTCTCGGTGCGGTCATCTTTGGGACGGCGAGCATGGGGTCCAAACACCAGACGGCGGCACCACCTTTGCCCACTCTGGCCATCCTCAGGTCCTTCACTCTTCCCTCATCCCTGACCTGCACGCGTTTCTCTCTTCTCTCTCCTGGTGCGCATTTCCTACGAAGCCTGAGCCTGGACGTGGACGATCTCTTGGGCAGTTCCCAGCTCCCAGTGCCCTAACCCCCCCCCTAATATCCTGGTCGGCTCTGGTCTGACGAACCGGACTGCGCCATTCTCACCACCACCTGGTGCGCACTTCGTCCGCTGTTCTGGGTTTCTCTGGGACCTCCTCTCTTGTCTCGTTTCTTCCTCTTTTCTCCCCTCCCCCCATCCGTGCCCGGTCAGCGTGCGTCTCGTCGCCTGGCTCCTCTCAACTGCACGCACGAATTCTCTGCCCGACGACAATCGAAAGGAACGAGCTGAGAAGCTCGTCTTCCTCCAAAGTGGCCGACTCTCGAGTACACCTTCCTTTACTTCGCTCTTCACGACATTCTCTCGTTCTTCCCTCGCGGGATTTTAATCTTAATCTAATCCAACCTTGACCAACTACAATCGATCGTTTTTTTTTTCACCGTCCATCACGAACTCAGCAAATACATCGTGCCGACGTTTTTCGAGTTTCGACCTACGCTAATCTCCCAATCACTCGTTTGCTCAGGAGAGCAGTTTTTGGTTACAACTCCGACCCAACATTTCTCTGTTGGTAGCCTTCTTTACGACAAAGGCCGACTCCGACCTGACCTCGAAAACTCTTCGACGACAACCTCTGTGGACCGTATTCATTCCGAGATTCTTCCTAGACGATCATGATCTAGGTGCCGCCAAGACTCACGCGATCTCACCGATTTCCGCATCAGCCTGCTCAACTTGGACGAATCACTGTCAACGCTTCAGATGGACACACCCAACCGTCTTGCGACCCCATCGCGGGTTCGCAAATCACCTCGGAAGCCTTTCGGCATGAAGAATGTTGCCCTTGCCTTGCTGTCCACCGCCCCCGTGGTGGTCTCAGCTCAGGATTGTATTTCTCTCAAAGGCTCAAAGGCCTGCCCGGCGTTTGAGTCTGCGTCGATCTCCACCAACGCAACACTGATTGAATATTTGTGAGTCCTTTGTTAGCCTTGACAGTCACGTTTAACTAATTCGCATTTAGCCCCTTTCTGCAATATGTGTCAGACAGAGCGTCTTTCGACAACCAGATGTCGAGCTACGTTAAGACGGCCTATGTGCAGGGAAAGTAAGTTTTACCTAGTTGGTTATGGTGAAACCTTACTTATAAACCACCTAGATATCAATCCCTGTTTGGTTGTGGCAGTGTCGACCTTCAGGACCCTAGCGACATGTACGCGCGCTTCACGACAACAGTATTGTGCAATGCTATTGTCCAAAACTCTATCGGTCCCTGCGGTCTCACCGATGACCAGTCCCGACCCCTTTGCGCAGATAGCTGCGCGGAATTTGCCCAAAGCGAGGCATATGTGACATCAGATGACGATCTATGCTCCAACCCGTCGACTGACCTGCTTAAGCTGATCAGAGCTGACTTCACTAACTGCGCCCTTCCTAATGGCTCACTCGATAGTTCGATGTGCATTTCGGGCATCGAAAACGAATCTCAGAACTGCGGTTATGGCAACAGCACCGTGGGGCTCTGTTCCTATTGCGGCTCAGGAGGTCTTAATTCGACTGACACCTGCTGCTACAACTCAAACGCCGAGGAGCGTTGCAAGGACGTCAAACTGCCAGCTCTCACTGCTACTCTGACCTTTTCGCGAACACTGCCATCGGCTACATCAACCAGTACGACTGCCGCTGGCAACGACAACAACAAGGATGACGAAAAGACCGACGACGACGATGATGGCGGCTTGAGCGGTGGAGCGATCGCTGGCATTGTTATCGGCGTTCTGGCGGGCATTGCACTGCTCGCTCTGGGTCTTTTCTTCTGTCTCAGGAGGCGACGCAGACCGAGCAGCCCCAAGGGCAGCATTTTCAACCAACCTTCGCCCGCAAGACAGGGTGGGACTATGACACAGACAGCACCACCGACGGTAACACACTCTGCTGCTCCCCAGGGCTACGAGGTCCTTCCGGGTGGCCGCATAGCACGCATGTCTGCTCTGGAAGGACATTCTGGCGACTCTCCCTCACACCACCGTGACGACTCGTCGAACATTGGAGGCGCAGCAGGCTACCGACGAAGGGGTGCCGACAACTCTTCGTCTGCATCTGACGGCTTCGGCGACAGCCCTGCTTCAGACATCCGTGCCGGAATTCTTCGACCACCGCCTGCTAAGCCCAGGCGCAACGGCTCACTCTCAAGCAGCTCGGCGCTTGGGAGCTCGGTGCCACAGTCCCCAACTAGTGCTGGGGGATTCTCATCACCACAGGCCATGACTAGCCAACAGTCAGAACAGCTACCATTTTTCAAGGACTACTACTCTCAGGACGACGTCCACCCTGGCGACCGGGTTGCGGTTCTCTGGGCGTACCAACCTCGTGCTACAGACGAGTTTTCTCTGGATCGCGGCGACATGCTCAAGGTTGTTGGAATATGGGATGATGGCTGGGCGACGGGTGTGATGCTCAACGAGCGGGCGGATGAGTGGGAAGCGCGACGACAGGCCCAGCGAGACAGCGGAGTGTCCAACACGTCGGGGCGCCGTGACAGCTCACCGGCAGAAGGCGAAATCAAGGCATTCCCCTTGGTGTGCGTCTGCCTGCCCGAGCACTGGAGGAAGACAATCGAGGGTGACGGTTCCACGGAATCTGGATCGAATGGTTTCAATACTCACTCGCCACTCTCATGATCAATACAGTCACGACGTCTTTACTCTTGAATACGGCCCTCGGGAGGCACATGTTGTCGGCGCATTGGTTATGGCGTTTTGCTTTTAGGCGTTTTTGATTGGCTTTTCATAGCCTCGGGTTCGTGGGATGGATATTGTGCGCCGTATCATCGACATTCTCAATACCGTCTTGTCCATGGAAACCCCCTGGCTACCATTCGCGCCACAACACCCCAACTCTTCATCATTCAACTCTTCTACCAACCAACCTTTGGGACTCTTTTCCCGGCTTCAATTCTTACACTGATTTATATACCCGGTGCGAACCACCAACGATTTTCTTTATCGCGATGCCGCGGGCGGTTGTGGGCCAGATAATGGTGTAATCGGGCAAAGAAAGGGTTTTAGCCCGTATGAGTGGCCAAGGAGAACAAGGCGGCAAGGCAATTGGGAGGAGATGAAGATGAGATGAAGATGAGGGAACGGGCTGAGACGCGAGGTTGAAAGTCAACCACCACATTCATTACGTTTTAAGGCTTCTCACGATGATGTTTGATAAACATTGAGTACTAACTACTATAGAGCTCTTCAGCACCAGGATCTCTATGAGGCCTGACGATTTAGTTTAGCGAAAATTACTACGAGTTTAGAGCTGCTTGTCCTTTTGATGACCATGAATGACCATGACCAGTGACGTCGATGTTTGATCAATCTAGAACAATTGAATTCCAGTCACAAGTTACACAAGCCCTCGTGTTTCCCAAGCTGTCTTAGATCTATCCTATCTGATAATCTTGCTCTCGATCTGGATCTGGGTGCTGAGGTGGAGCTGGAACATGAGACAATGAACCCGACGGCAGCCCCACCGCGGGGAGTCTCCATTCTTTCTTGCAAACCTGAAGAGGGGCAGCTCCCGTCTACTTTCTTTCTACTTTATACAACCTCAAGTCACAACCTTGCTCGAGGGTTAAGAGACTGGCACACCTTCAGAAATCTTCCATCATGACTCAGACAAACAACAATCCAGAGGTCACGGCCGAGACCAAAGCAAATGCAGAGGCCTTGGTCCCCAGATTCAAGCTCACTCGCGTGCTCAACCAAGGTATGCCAACAGAAGATCGCATGCTTGTCGTCAAACATATCTTTACTGATGCGGCAAAAAGACCAAGCCGGCCGTCGCATCTCTCTCTACGGATCCATCGACGACAAACCCGCCCTCCTGATACTCGAGCGCGCTCCCTTCCCCTCATCAGAGGCCTACCTCACCGACGTTCCCGCCCTGCTCGCACGGGTGCAGAATCTTGGCGCAAATGACATCTACCACTGGTACATGGCGCGCAGTGGCACCGAGAAGAGCAAACCCGACGACGCCGACTTCTTTGCCGACCTCAAGATCAACCTTATCCACCCTTGCACCCAGACACACATGGACAAGTACACCAAGCAAACGGTTCGATTCGTGAACGAGACGCCAGAAATCTACAGGGATCATGTCCGACCATACATGGAGAGGAAGCGGGGACAAGGGCGACTCAATTGGGTATTCAACATTATCGAAGGACGTAAGGAGGTCGAGGACGTTATTTACAGGACCAAGCTGGGCGAGGCCGGCGACCTGGGCTTTCTCATGCTGCCCGACCTGAACTGGGATCGCAAGACGCTCGACGCGCTGCACCTGCTGGTACTGGTTGAGCGGCGGGATATCTGGTCGCTGCGGGACCTCCACAAGAAGCACATTCCCTGGCTGAAGGATATGAAGGAAAGGCTCCTCGCCGCGACCGTGGCGACGTACCCGTCCATCGAGTCCGACCAGCTCAAGATGTACGTGCACTACCAGCCCACCTACTACCACTTTCACATCCATGTCGTTCACGTTGCGCTCGAGGCTGGGGCGACGCAGGCGACGGGCAAGGCGGTCGGGTTGGACAGCATTATAGAGACCCTCTCAGCCATGGGGGGTGATGACGAGAGGGGTATGGACTCGATCGCGATGAGTTATACAATAGGAGAGGCGAGTGAGTTATGGACCGACGTCCTCGGACCGCTCAAGACTGGCGACGGAGCTTCTCGATCGCAAGGATGAGGTCGTTAACGCCGGGACCGGTGGGGCAGTCGCTCCACTCGCCGCCGTCTCGGATGCAGTAGATTTGGCCGTCGAGGCGGATGGTACAGCTCTTGGTGACGCCGGCCTGGGAGAGCGATGAATTTAGCATATGTTTTGTGTCTTTAACTTGCGCGGCAACCTACATCTGCGGTTCTCTGGATGCTGGTGCGCAGCAGGTCCAAGCCGTGAGCACCGTCTTCCTTGACGGCGCAGTCATTTAGTTTTTGGAAGTCGATGGCGTGCTCAAGGGCGCAGTCCTCGATGAGGGAACGGTCGGGGATGTTTTCGTAGTCTCGGGTCAAGCACATGATGAAACCGAGGTTGATCTTGGGATCGGGGTAGAGCTCGCGGGCACAGAGTTCGATAATGTTGCCCATGCATTCTGAGGGACCGTGCATGCAGTCGACGCCGTCGTTGGCGGTTGGTCTGAGAATAGAAGGACGTGTCAGCGCGTGTCGCAACTCAGGGGTAGAGGCTGCGACGGATAGACATACCGGCCGATGTATGATAGAGTAAAGTTGACCTTGTCATGGACGCGCTGCATGACGGGAAGGATCAACAACCGGAGGGCGTCCTAACGCGCAATGAGTACTTGGTCTGAGGCGTCGCGACAAGAAGGAAGCTTTTACCCTTGTGTCTGGGCATTTACTGATAATATGCGCCTCCAGAGGGACGAGTCGGTCGGTGGTATGGATAGTGTCGGCTACGCTGACATCGACAGGCTGCGAGACGTCATTCGGGAGGTTGAGGCCGACGGGCGAGAAGGGATGCCATAACCAGAAAGTGTATAGAGATGCTATGACGAAGAATACGATGACGGCAGGCCGATTACGGCGGACGGAGCGGACTGGGGACATGGCTCGTTGCGAGGCTCTTTTCTCATCCATTGCGACTAGATAGATAGATGATGATGAGTTATTGCGACTCTCTTGGTGGAGAGGGCCGGGGATTGTGGAGGTGGAGGTATGGATGTCGTTATGACAGTAGGTGTAAGGCATCACATGCGCAGGATTGTTTATCCGGGCGAGGGATGCCAACGTACGTTCCATACCAAACACGAAGCCAAATATTCTTGGCATGAGCAGTGAACAGCTGGTCATAATTGGTATAGTAGCTCTCTGAATCCTTTCTCATATTAACCTTTGATATTCCTCTCTCGCGTCACATACAGACTCACTGATGCCTTGACCTGACTGAATGACTGTATCCTCTCCACTCTCTTTCGGCCCGCGCTGGATTCCCCGCTGGGCACTCCCCTGTAGATGCGCTGTAGGTCTGATGGGACCCCTTCTGCAGTCACCACGTTTCAGGGCGCCGTTCGCTGGGGCTGGCGCTGCGGCGGGGCACAGCCTGCGAACCCCGCAGCGATCCGTTTGGACATTGCGTGCATTCGCGGCTCCTCGATTGATTGACGGAAGGGAACAAAAGATTAAAGATTGCGCCCTCCGTCCTGCAAAATCCATAATAAGACCGTACCGATCCATTACCGGGACCTTGCTCATCGCTGACGAGCTCTTGTTTATTGACAGTGAATAATTTGCTGTCAGTGCGTTTCCTTATAAGTCACGGCCTGCTCTCTCAGACGTTGTCGTGAAGACGAACTGATCTGATTCACACCTTCAACCTTCTCCCACTGCTTATCTTGACCACCCTTCAACGTTGACCCAGACTTACGGCTCTGCCTATAAGAAGGGCCCCTGATCTACATTCGAATCTGACATCGAAATCAACTACAACGCCTCCAACGCCGCTAGATCAAACTTGCTGACCGCCTCAGCCTGATATTTCAAGCCTCAACACAAAAAGAAGAAACCTGTCATCGTGACGATGCCCTAGAGTTGGGGCCGCACAAAGTCACCCGTTTCAAAGCTCACCTCAGCGTCGACTGCGCCGCCCTCGCCATGGCACCCGCGAAAACATCGTCCATCGAGGACTTTCTGGAACCTCTCTCGGTGGACATTGACAAGATCCATTCGCTGTCTCAACGTTTTTTGGTGGCCTTTGAGAAGCTTGCGTCAGATTCGCAAAACCAGTTTCTGCCTACCCCCATTTCGGATGCCATTCTACGGCCAGAGGCTGAGAGGAGCCAAGGATGGTGAGAGCTTCTGATGTTTCTCTGGCAGTCTTTGTATGAACCGGACTCTTGGCTGACGTAGAATGTCATTAGCCACCTAGCCATAGACATGTCAGTGACTGAGATGAGATATGGTTACTTGTGCTTACGGCTAACCTGGAAATAGAGGAGGCACAAATTTGAGAGTTGGCTTCGTCGAACTCGGGACGTCCTCGTCAGACAATACAGATGGTCATGCTGTCAATGGATCAGACACTCGCACCGGATTGCACAGATATGTGAAGCGTCTGCTGGAACGGTCGTGGCCCATCGACGAGCACCTCAAGAACGAGAACCCCGACAGCCTCTTCCTCTGGATTGGCAAGTGCATCGCAGAGGTGGTCCACGATGGCTGTAAGACGTTGCGTCTGCCGCTCGACCAGGCCATGCCGCTGGGTGTGACGTTTAGCTTCCCCATGGTGCAGCACTCTCTGTCCGAGGCCACCCTCATGTCCATGGGCAAGGGGTTCGCCATCTCTGCTGACTTGGACCTTGGTGATCGCCTCACCGACGGATATAACCGTGCGAAACCGTCGGAGCTGCCGCCCATCCGCGTCGAGGCCATCGCCAACGATTCAGTGTCGACACTCGTCTCGTTCATCTTCAACTTTGACGAGGCTGTTAACCGAAGAGCCTCGATGGGCCTGATCCTCGGAACGGGCTGCAACGCCACCATCCCGCTCAAGGTGAGCCAACTGCATCCTAGCAAACGCCCGCGAAGCGTTGTGACCCGGCCGGAGGAGCGAGCAGAGGACGTCAAGATCGCCATCAACACCGAGTGGAGCATCAACGGGACGGCGCCTCCGCTGCACGAGGTGGGCTTGGTGAGCGCATGGGACAAGGTGCTCGACTCGCAGAACGAGCTGCCCGGGTTCCAGCCGCTCGAGTACATGACGGCGGGGAGGTACTTGGGCGAGCTCGGGCGCATCATGCTGGTCGACTACATGACGAAGCACCTGGGCATCGCGGCGGAGACGCTGCCTGAGAAGCTGCTGCGGCGGCACGGTCTCACAACCACGTTCCTGAGTCACTTCAAGCCGCTCCGGCCATCGGTCCTGCTCGCCGGTCTGCGGGAGGAATTCCCCGAGTCATCGGGCTCGCCGCCATTCACGTGGACCGAAGAACTCGCCAGCGCCCTTTACCAGATTGCAAAGGCCATAGAAGTCCGCGCAGCTGGCATAGTGGCGGCCGCGACGTTGGCGTTGCTTACGCTGGCGGGGGAAGTTCCAGCAGAGGGATCCGACGTCCTGCAGCAGGATCACGAACTGGGAGTCGGGTACACGGGCGGATGCATCGTGCACTTTCAAGACTACCTCGAGGACTGCCAGGAGTTTCTGGACCAGCTGGTGAGGAAACGGTTCAACGGGCAGAAGACGGTTCGAGTGGTACTAAGCCCGTGTCACGACGGTGGTGTTACCGGAGCCGGTATTCTCGTGGCTGCTGCGTCGTCGAGCAAGAAGATAGACAAGTAGAAGGAGGTTGGTTGGGATTCTTGGGTTACATATCCATTGCATACACATGGAGCAACGAACGGGTTTGGTTTGGGGGGGCAGCCGGTCTGCTCCGGTACTGTAATTAACAAGGGGGGGCACACATGATCGCCATGAGCATCCATCCATCCCACATGGGGGTCCTTTCTCTCTTTTTTTATGATAACGTGGGTGTGATTGTGAGACATGGAGGGGGGAGGGGAAGCCGGTGAAAGGAGGAGGGGGGAAGAGACAAGAGGAAGAGGCAAGCATTCTGTTTTTGGTTGTTGTATTTGTTAATTGCTCGCTTATAGAAACAAAAAGACGGTCGATTCTCACGAGTCGAGGCTTATCCAAGTTATGCCTTCAAGAGGCTTGAACTAACTTGTTCTTAGTTCAACTGTCAAATGTCTCTGAAAGGCTATCAATAGCTAGCACAGTCAGACTTATACACCACCAGCTCCGAAGCCACTCGAGGTTGGTAGAGCCACTCTCGCCGACAAGACACGGCAGGTTTTTGCTAATCCCTGAACGCTTATAAGCCTCCCCGCCCCCGATGGTCGCGCCGAACCCGCCGTGGGCTTTGCGGGGCTAAATCTAAGCTGCAAGCGCGGGTTGCCTGCAAGTGCGCAACCCCCGGGAAAAGTCTGCGATCACGACAACGGCGAGTGACTCCACCCAGCACCCTTACTAAACCTGATTTCTCTTTCATTTCCTCTTTCTTACTTTCTCTTTCCTTCTTTTTTTTCTATACTTGTTTTTAAACTAATTTGATCACTCAATTGCACGTGGTCTTATCAATGAGTCCGTCTCACAAGACCTCCTCCGTCCCGGGCACGGCTCCCCTATCGGATGCGGGCCGCTTCCCCGTTCCGGTGCCGGTCCCCGCGCGCGGCCGGACCAACAGCGACAACGACGATGACCAAGACGACGAGGTTGTTGATCCAAGCGAGTTTCAGGCTCTCTCGAGGTCGTTGACCACGGGAGGTCATTTTCTACAGCCAGAGTCTATGGAGAGTGCTATGCTTAGGCCTAACCCTAACCCTGTAATTCATCGTGAAGATGGGGAGGCGTTTTACACGGATGACGAGGAGGATGAAGAAGAGGAAGATGATGGGGATGTGCCTCATGAAGAGTCTCCTCTAATACATCGACGTCACTCAATTACAGGTCGATCTATAGCATCAATCGCAACCAATGGAACAACCGCCTCGTCCCCCTTCCTCAACGGCACATCAACAACAAGATTCTGGTTCATCTTTTCACAGATCCTAGCAGCCTACTTTATATCCTGCTTCGACGGCACAATCATGGCGTCGTCGCACCCGGTCATCACGTCGTACTTTGGCGCCTCCAACTCTGCCTCGTGGCTCTCGACTGCCTTTTTGCTCACCTCGTCGGCGTTCCAGCCTCTGCTGGGCCGTCTTTCGGATGCTGTTGGCCGCAAGCCGCTGTTTGTCGGTTGTCTGGGTGTTTTTGCTGTTGCTACTACTTGGTGTGCTCTTGCGGGGAGTATTGAGAGTTTTATTGTTGGTAGGGCGTTTTGTGGTCTTGGTGCTGGTGGTGTCATGACACTTGGTAGTATCATCGTGAGCGATCTCGTACCTATCGAGTGAGTAAACCCCCAATACGCATATGCTCCTCTATTCCTAATATGTTCTTCAGAGACCGAGGTGCCTACCAGTCCTACATCAACATGAACTACGGCGTCGGTTCAGCCCTAGGCGCTGCAACAGGAGGTGCCATGGCCGACTACTTTGGCTGGCGGTGGGAGTTTGGCGTCCAGGTTCCTCCGCTGCTTCTGTGCATGGTGGTTGCCTGGATCGCCATCCCGGATGATCTTGGCATCGAGGGGGAGAGGAAGGGTGTGTGGCAGGCTCTCAAGGAGTTTGATGCAAAGGGATCTCTGCTGCTGACTACTTCTATTACTTTTGTGATTCTTGGATTGGTGAGTTATTCTTTTCTACAAGATGAATTTCTACTAATGCAATTGGTGATAGAATCTTGGAGGCAACGTTCTGCCATGTAAGTGCCAACTCTACATAACACCATCAAAGACTCACTCAGCTAACACTTCGCAGGGTCTCACCCCTTTGTCATTGCCTCGCTCGTCATCTTTGCCGTCGTCTTCCCGACCTTCCTCTGGGTAGAATCATGGGTTCACAAGCCCATCATGCCTCTCTACCTCATCCGCCACGCCCCCAGAGCGAACCTCATCTTCTCCAATGTCATTGCAGCGCTGCTTGCCAACTCGATCCTGTTCAACATGTAAGGAGCCCTTATATACATCGCCGCCTCTGCTAACAACCCCCAGCCCCCTGTACTTCCAGGCCGTCCTCCTTACCAGTGCCACTTCATCTGGCCTCCGTCTTATCATCCCGACCGTCGCGTCCTCTTTCACAGGTACTCTTGTCGGGTTCGCTGTAACCTGGACCGGCCGCCTCAAGTGGCCCGTCATGAGCGGCACTATCTGCATCCTCATCGGGACCATCGGCCTCTCAGCCCTGCGCCGGGACCTCCCCTCCCCCGTCTACCTCCTCATCCTACTCCCCTCGTCCATCGGCCAGGGCTTCCAGTTCCCCGGTACCTTCATGGCTATTCTTGCCGCATCTGCCCAGACTGAGCAGGCCGTCGTCACAAGCACGCTCATGCTATGGCGCAGCCTGGGTATGGTCCTTGGTGTTGCGAGCAGTAGTCTGGTCGTCCAGAACGCCCTGCTGCATTACCTCAACGTCTTTGTCCAAGGCGACGAGCGCGAAGACGTGATACGCCGCGTGAGGGCTTCAGTCGAGGAGGTTTTGAAGCTGGAACCCCATTATCGCGAGCAGGTTGTCAAGAGTTACGAGGCAGCTTTGAGACTGACTTTTGTCTGCTGTACCTTCTTTGCCCTGCTCTCGGTGCTGTTGGTTCTCCCCATCAAGCTTCCTCGTCTTGGTGTTAGAAAGCACAGATCTAGGTAGGCTTGAACTGAAATGAAATCAACATGTCAAAAGTTATCAAAGGGAGGGAATGAAACAGAATGTATGGTAGAAAATACCACCGGCGAGTGGTTCAGATTGTTAGCATTAGACTCAAGCGATACCAGCCTTGATTGACCCCTATTTATACACTGTAAATGTCCCTTAATGAACCCCATTGACTCCGTTTGTCATCAGCCCGTCCAGCTCCTCCTTGGCCTTCCTGTACTCTTCCTGCGCTTCTCTCTCTCGTCGGCTCACAAAGCCAACCTCTTCACGCAATGCATTCAGTCGTCGCTCGATAGCCACATCCTCTGAGATGGCCAGGGTCTTGAAACCAGCCAGTGCAGACCGGGCCTTCTCTAGAGCATCGGCTGCGCCGCCCATCTTGTCGCGGAGCATCTTTTGCCGCTTCTGGTAACCTCCGAGATGAAGTGACAGCTTCTTTTCCAACTTGGCACCCTGCTCGGCTGATGCCATGATAGAATCTTGAACAGACTGCAAAACGTTAGTATCACTTCTCAGGGGTTGAACTATTAGACAAGACTTACATCAAATGCCGCCTTCATCGCCACCCCTTGCTCTTCCTCGTCGTCGTTGTAACATCCCAAGCCCAGGAGCAGCGAGCTACTTGCACGAGCTTCGAATGCACTCTGGATATCTTCAAGGCTGGGAAGGGGCTTTGTCTCCGACATGATCAAGAGGCGAGCTTCAGCGAGGGCATCATCGTCAATATGTTGCAATGCTCGGGGCGCACCGTTAACCTGGCCACCAGGAAGGGGGTATCTCATGGCATCGTTGGCCATAAGATTGGCCGACTCCTTGGCGATGAGTGACTGGGCCTCATTGGTGATACGGCTTGCCTTCTTCACCAGGTCGGTAAAATTGACACGAACTGGTCGAGGCAAATTCTTCTGCATGACCTGAGTGCGTCTTCGGAACTCAAGAGCCTCTTCTGCTTCTCGCCTCTCCTGTTCCCGCCGGTCTCGCTCCGCGGCATCTTCCTCCGTAAGCTCATCAACCTGCATAGCCTCCTTCTGTTCGTCTGGAATATCAAACTCCCACTCCGTATCTTTGGGCTTTGGAAGTGATGCGAGACCCGACTTCAACTGACTGCGCAGAGCCACTTCCCTCATCCTGATGTCTCGGGGAGTAGCGGAAGCCATCGACATGCCGTCCTCTTGGTTCAGAGCGAGGGTGTCTCGTGGTGTCCGTAATGGGGTCTGTCCTGGCCGACGAGGGGTCGCACCAACGCCATCGGGTCCTCTTAGAGGTGTAGCCAGGGGGTTTGGTGTTGAGATTGTCTGCTTTCGGGGGGCAATTCCATCAAAGCCGGTCGACGAAGCACCTTCATGCAGAGGTGTGTTCTCGCCGCCCAGAAGGGCTGACTTTGTTTCGTTAAGCGCTCGGATATTTCGAATTTCGTTGGCGATGTGATCTTCTTGCTCAGGGGCCTTGGGTGTTCGAATAGGGGCGTTCGAGTTCAGGGTCGAATATGTGTTGACAAGTCCTCGCGTCGCATCGTTCTCGCTTTCTCGCGCCCTCAAGTTGGCAGCCTCACCCATCTTTCCCATCTTGACAATGTCTTCCAACTCTCCCTCGCTGACCTGAGGAGACGGCAGGACCAGCGAGCGACGCTTGCTACTCTGCTCGGCCTCTCGAATCTTTTGAAGTTGACCAGCCTTCAAGGCGGCCTTGTATGACTCTGATGACCCGTCCTTGTCGTTCTTCCTCCGCTTTCTATCCTTGTCGTCATCATCATCTCCCTTGCGCTTGTTGGCCAGCTGCTGCTTTCGAGGGTCGAAGGCTGCGCGCTGGGCCTCGTTCATTACCATCTCTTCTGACGTATCGTAAAAACCAGCCAGGGCCTTCCTCTCAAAGGGGATATCGGCGTTGTAATCCATCTCGCCCTTCTTCCGAGTCGTCACCTTGATGTTGATACCAGCCGTCTTGAGCTCTCGCCTCTTTTGCAAGGCTGCCAAGCGGCGAGACTCCTCTTGCTGACGCTCTCGCGCCTTTCTCTTAGCCTTTTTACCCTGTGTATTCGCCAAGCGGGCACGAGCCTCGCTCAGCATCTCCTTCTCATCTTCGTCGAGATCGATCGTGTCGGGTCGTGCAGGCTTCGTTTCGGGGTCGGGATCCAGCTCGCCGGGACGGAGTCGTCGCACATCATCGGCGCTTGGCGCTTGGGTCTCACCTCCCTCCGGACCCATCAACCCAAAACTAGATGACTCTCGCGCTTCGGCTTCATCGAGGAGCTTCTGGTATCGTTCGAGGCACTGGTTGGCAGTTCGACCGACGATGGGAGCGATGGTGCGCCACTGTGTGGGCATAATCTTGGCAAGATGCAGAAGCTTCTCATCTTCGTCCTTGCTCCATTCGATCTTCTTGATGCTGGGATCAAGCCATTCGTTCCAACGGGCCTTGCACTGCTTGGGCGTCTTGCGCGCAAGCAGCGACGAGACACGTGCCCATTGGTTAAGACCATACTTGGACACGGAGGCCTTGAGGATCTCATCCTCGATGTTGGTCCACACGCCTCCCTTGACGACGGGCATGATGGCGGTGTTTTTTGAAGTCGCGTCGTGTGAGGTTGAATGCGATGGAGCCTTGAGCTGCGAAACACGCTTTCATGAAAATATCCTTGCGGCGCGCATTGAAAGCTGAGTCATCAGTACCAAGCTTGTAATTGGTGGTGCTGGTGACCCACAGTTAAACCGTCCTGCATGCTGTGGAAGGTGATGATGAGGTTGCCTGAGATGGAAGGTAAAAAGAAGAGAATATGCATTACTTAGACCAGCCTTGAGTAACTTATCTATTGATGCTATCTTGAGAAACCAGTTGTACTTACTTTGTGTGTTTCGCTCAACTCTATGGGGTTTCACAAGGCCCTTGATGTCAACAACAGGGCCCAAGGCCAGCTGCAATCAATATATCACGGCTTTGTCGTCAAATAAGCTCCAAGAATAAGCATCATACTCTCGACTATTGGCCTTCGTTCCATCTTCCATCCATTAGCCGTCATGTTGATACAACTTGTCAAATAATTACCCATAAAGGCATCATCTCAAGCTGCCGCGTCAAATCAGCAACTTCAACAAAAACACCCCAAAACATGCTGTCATAGAAAACAATGATCCACTCCTCTCTCGTGACGTTTTAACCGGATCCGATCCGACCCAATGCCGCGTGCCTGGTCCATTCCCTTCACTGCGGACTTTGCGGAGGAGCCCGGCGTGTCGGAACCCCCCAAAGTCCGACACATCCCACCCAGCTGTAGCTTATCAGACAAGATCTTAGCTGCATGATTCAAAGGGGGGATGGAGTGCGTCATTCATCCATCAAGAGTTGCTAACCGCGTGCCTGACGATGCCGTGATGGAGCTGACGATGGCGACAAGAGAAGACGATTAGCCAGGGCAGGCTGACGAGAGAAAGATGAAACGTGGTCTGAAAATACCCTTTTTGCTGTTCCTCAGTGACTGGAGCCATGGCATTCATTCATTCATTCCTCCCATCTGCGTTGTCCAGCTCTGGATGGTTGGTTTGGTTAGTTAGAGCTACCGGTACCTTAGCGAGATGCCCCGGGCGACTCCACACCATCCATTAGCCATTCGACTTATCATGGATCCCATCCCATGGATCTCGCCCATTATTAATCCTCTTGTTGCTTGTTCTCGAGTTTCCCCTCGTCACTCTTGTCTCATCCTACAGGAGCACAACCAAACTTTCGCTGCTTCTGAGACAAGGGGGCACGGATAGCTCGGCGCAACTACAACAACTTCAAAAATATCCCATACCAAGCTTGCTTGGCCATGCACCAGTGTCTACCTTGATCGATACTGGGCTTGATAAAGCCGACTTTAGCTGCCCTCAACTGTCGCCGACTTGCGACTCCAGCCTCGAACCGAATACTGCGCCTCTATACAAGATTGCGCGCCGACCATGACGAGAGCCAAGGATCCCGCGGGGGACGCGACTATCGATGCGACCGAGACAACTCGTCTGCTTGCGACCAGCAGCATAGAAAGTAGAGATGGAGAGGGTACAGTCTCTAGTAGCGGCAGCGGCTGGGATGGCTACAAGGACTTTGAAGGCCTGCCCTGGTGGCGTAGACCGTCGGTACTGAGCCCCGGCGCGCGAGGCGCCTCTCGCGAAAGCCCCCTTTTATCTGACACGACCTCGTAGGTCTTTTGGCTGCTCGGCCCATATGTCATCTTTACCCTCGCCTTTGGAGGCGTTGTAATTCCAAAGCTCAACTTGTATGTCAGCTTCCCTCCTTGTCGCGATCAAGTTGCTTACCGGGTACAAGGATCCTTGATCTTGTTTGTAGGCAATATTTCGCCGATAAGCAAACAAATGATCCAGACTTTACCTTGAATCCTGCCTTGCTTGCGGACCCTCAGCGCAAGTTTGGGAGCGACAACCCCGAGTGCAAGATTCCAGAGGTTCAGAAGAATGTCGCTACATTCATGTTGATCATGAGCCTCTTGACAGGCTCTCTCAGCGCCATTGTCGTTCCGCGCATCGGTCACTTGTCGGATCGCTATGGTAGAGGTCGTCTCATGGCTTTTGCTTCAGTGGGAGGAGTCATGGCTGAGATGATCACGGTCCTCGCGGCTCAATTTCCTGAGGTTGTCAATTATCGGTGGATGATCCTCGGCAGCGTCTTTGATGGGTTGACAGGCTCGTTCACTGCAGGAAGCATCATGTGCTACTCTTACACGAGTGATTGCACACCACCTTCCAACCGGGCCGTCGCTCTCGGTCTCATCCAAGGCTGTCTCTTTGCTGGACTCGCCTTTGGCCCTCTGCTGGCGGGCTTCTTTATCAAGTGGACGGGCACTTCTGTCTATCTCTTCTACGTCGTGCTCGGATGCCACACAGCGTTTGCCCTCTTTGTATGGCTTGTCGTGCCCGAGTCTCTTTCCAAGAGGAAGCAGCTGGCAGCTCGGGAGAAGTGGGAAAAGGAGCAGGAGCTGCGAGTGCAAGCCTCAGGATCCT